AGTTGTGCAACGCGGAATACGTTCGGCGAATTTCCTGGTGGAAAATTAATTCAACATCTCAAAATTCAAATGTGTCATCCCGCGGTTTTGCAAACAGCGAAATCGTCACGTTTATGTTTATAATATGTACATACGCGTCAAAAGCCACACGCCTATATTTATAATCGATCGATTTTTTTCCCCCCGTTCGAATTTCGAGCAGGAAACTCGGCGCGCACACACAAGAGCTTATTAATTATTTCAATATTCAATTAATAACGCGCGCGACCGAATTATGTAAGCTTTTTATTTCTCGTTTCATTCTCTCGCAACGACCGCTGACATTTTAATAACGATCGTTGTCGTCGTCGTCGTCACACAACGCGACGATTAAATCGATGTCGTCAAGAGAGCGCATGGATTTCGATCTGTCGCGTTAATTCCCTGTGAAATTAATACACACAGGAGAGCAGCATTACAATTCTCTCGCATCATAAACATTCGGCCAATATTTAAAAAAAACAAAAAAAAACAATGATATCTCAACGATCGCACAGATGTCAACCGTAAAACGAATGAATTGAAACACGTTACAAAGTGTCGTCCGGACGGCACTTGATCGATCCTTTATCCCGACCCTACACACAACGCTCTTTCAATCCCCGTCCCTTCGACAAATATACACGCGCGGGAACACACGCGTGCATAATCGCGCTCCGGTACACGCAGAAATTATTAATGTATAACAGACCGCGGAGAGAGATCGGAGCGGAGTTGTAATCGGGTGTTTCCTCATCATCACACATGAAGTGGTGTCAGGTCCTCGGCCGGGTCGCTCACTTCCACGCAGGAACACATCACGACAGGACATTGTCCATTATCGTCGCATGCTATCCTCCTAATTTCCCCTCTCCCTCATCTCTCTCTCTCTCTCTCTCTGTCGCTCGTAAATCTCCTCGCAGCTTTCTAAGTAAATGCTCCATGGGAACGAGAATTTCTGCCGGGGATTACGATCGTAAAAAAATTTATTTTACACACTTTTCTGCGAAATACGAGCGCGAAATCTCTTCTCTCTCTTTCTCGTCATGTCGCGAATTCGGGACCAACCGTTTGACAAAGTGTTTTTTTGTTTCTTTTCTTCTTTTTTTTTTTTTTTTTTTTTTCTCTATTTCTAATTCGAAATCTCCACTGCTCACATTTCAACGAGTTTTTTACGCCGTCGACGGCGTACAATATTTTATTAGTTTTACAATGTCATCAAGTATTTTTTAAAAATACGATTACAGAAAAACAAAACCAGTTAGAACGAGAATATTAAAAGAAAAAAAAACAAGTTTTTGGTTTGTACGCGCCCGAATAAATTTTTTGCCACCGCGTTCTCCTGTCTTGTGTGTCGGTTATCGGTTTTCCGTCGACCGTAAACTTCATAGAGATTTCGCCGCATCATCGCGTGGGATTCTCGTTCCAGGGTTAGCCGAATACCAGATTTTAAAGACAATTTCGTGGAAGGTCATGGTTCAAAGTGACGCAACAGAACGGAAACTTACGTTATGTGGAGCTAAGCTTCCGCTAAGCTTCCGCGAAAACGATCTAATTGCACAAATTCACTGGGGTCTTCATCTTTTCGTCGCACGTCACATCGAGAGATCGTCTATTATGCACGCAGGCAATTCATTTCACGGCTAATCGATAAACATGTACTGACCAATAAATTGCTGCAAGACTCTATCACATGAAGAAACCTTGCGTGTGTGTGACCTTGCTTCACCTATAATTTTTCTCTCTGTGCACAGGTATCGTTTTATATAAAATTATATATAAGAATATAAAAAGAACAAGGTTAAAAAAACACTCATCTCTTAAAATATTAATAACAACGACGAATCATTCGAATTGCATTCAACGGTTTTAATAGATCTCTTCACACATTGTTATTTATTTAAAAAAATATAAATAAATATAAATCTGCAGTTTAATCAAAGAAAAATTGGGAGAGAGAGAGAGAGAGAAAGAGAGAGAGAGAGAGAGAGAGAGAGAGAGAGAGAGAGAGAGAGAGAGAGGAAGGAAAATTCTTCAGGGGAAAACTAGGACACAAATCTGCAGTTTAATCAAAGAAAAATTTGAAGAGAGGGAGAGAGAGAGAGAAAACTCTTCGGAGGAAAACCTTGCCTTTATACCGAGAATAAACAGTTAACGAACCTGGCATTATTCACGCGATACAATTCTTTCTTTAAGAAACAAAAAAAAAAACCAATACATTAATAACAATGTGCGATACGCGCCTTACAGACGCCTTGTGCAGATGCAATTGCCATCGGTCCTTGTGTTCCGACGACGCTTCTGTTACGTCGATATCCGGAACACAAAAGCGACGGCAGTTTTAAAAAGCGCGCGGCGGCGGTTTTCACGCGGCGGGAAATGTGCGACCGGCACACACGTCACACACGCTCACGGATCATTTTTGCACGGCACCAACTATCGACTTGGCTATTCAACTCGCAACACCGACACACGCGCGCGCGCGCGTGCGAAACGGAATGACAATCGAAGCCATAGGCGAAAATAAATTTCAACGTGGAAAAGTATCATTTTTTGGACAACCGTGCGAGAGTTTGACGCATGTGTAGTTTGTTTTTGCCATTTGAAAATTTGAGAACGTACGATACATGAGAAATAAATGGAAAATTTCACCTGCGGCAACGAAATTATACTCTTACGTGCGCGTGTCAGTGTTATCTCTCTCACGCGCGTCGGTGAAACGCGACGTTTAACGGAAGCGCTTTTAAATGACAGAGAGAGGATTTACGTTGTGCAAAAGCAGAAAAAAAATAGTCTACTTACGAAAGAAGACGATCCCTACGCGAATATCACAGTATTAGTTTCTGCGAAACAAGGATTTGGTTTTTCTTTTTTTCGTCAAAGTGGATTTCTCTCCGTGGAGAGGAGGGTTTCCAATTTATATATTCCTTCGTGTCTTCGCGAGAGTTCCACGCAAAAAAAAAACAAGAACATGCTAATTGTTACTCCAAACACGTTCGTTTTGCCACCACAAGCTTGTGGTGCGCGGAAAAGTTCGAGAAAGAGAGACATCTCTAGAAATACGATATTTAACGCCGGGAGGAAAATAAGGTTAATTGCCGTGACACGTAAAAAGAGAGAGAAAGAGATGTGTAAATTTCTATATTTCTTTTTACAGAGTGTGAACTGTGCCAAAGATTTGGAAACTGATCTGGAACGCAAAGTTTCTACCGCGCGATATTTCATTCCGACGTGCATTATCGACTTCAAGTGGATTGAACCGCAATCAAATCGAAGCATTACTCACTGAAGCAGTCGCAGCGGCTAATAATAGAAAGAGAGAGAAAACGTGTGCGTGTGTAGAAGTGAGTACGTGGTACATTGTTGTATAAAATTTCTTTTTATGCGTTTGCACGCGACAAGAGCAAAGTTGAAAGAAGTAGTTTAAAAATAACGTGGTAGCGTGAACGTAGTCACGCGAGTCAAAACCTACGTTTTTCCTTCGTTTCAAAGATATAACGCAGCATTATAGTCGCGTACGTTTACGAGCTAAGTTGCTATATAAGTTCCGCACGCATTTGTCTACAAATATGTACGCAAGACCACACCGTGTAGAGACATGTGCATTTCTCCGCTACAACACATGTTCTCGAATAAGATCACGCTTCTGGAGACCATCTAGAGCCGAACGAGCTTCCGGCTCTTGGTTCACAACCAAGTTTTAATGGTTCATCAGAAAAAGCAAACTGTACACGCCGGTACTGCTAAATATAGATCGCGACTACGGCGGGCCATTGTACACGTTCGCACATTCCATGCAAATGGTGATTTGCAAACAGTTAATTGAATATTAATAATTCGATTGCATGATTGAATAAAAAGAAATGAAAAAAAAAAAAATCGCACACTCTCGAAACGTTCACATCGCAATGTAAAATACAAGAATCGAGCAAATTTTGAGATAATTGACACGCGTATTAACATTCGTTAATTGTTCCGCGCAATTAGCAGAAGGCTTAAAATTGTAACCGTGATGTTCTAATAATTTTTATAAAATTCATTGCGAACCCGCAAATAAATTGGCTCGCATTTGCCGAATGGTAATTACTTGATTAATTGTTCCACACAATTGTCGCCATGAGAGAATTTCTCCCAACACACACGTACGCGCAATTCGCGTCATCGCCAAGAATAAAATTCTTAAATTCACGTATTTTAGATTAAAGTCGCGAGAGTTTTTCTCGAATTCTGGCGTAAAAATATTATTTGCGAAAAATTAGAAACAAACAAACGGAACTCGTAATGTCTCGAATAACGAGATTGAAATAGCGAACGTACCGAGAAACGGTACATTCTCAAGTAGAATAGAAATGTTATACTGCTATATGTGCAGCGTGTAAAAAAAGTGTGCAAGTCCGCCCGAGCATAGCTAAAGTCTTTATTTCTGTCGAGAATCTATTTCTGGAAAAAACAACTTCGGGTTCTATGGACGCTCTCGGAAATCGTGATGTAATCGTCGCGCGTGCAAATTTTTCGTCGATAAAACGGCGACGATTTATTGTCGCGAGAGAGAAAACGGTGGCGAAATAAATAATTAAACATGACAATGAAATGACAAACAAATGCGCGAGTCAAAATTGAAAATTCAACCAATTAAGAGAAATATTTCCAACAAATTATCTCATAATGAATTATTTCAAACGTATAAAAAAGAGACTGTGTAATGTAATATAAATAGTGTTAATAATTTGATTTTAATTGTTTTTCATTTTGTATTTTATTGATATGTATGTGTGTAGCGAGTCTTTCGCGCATGTAAAGTGTTTATTTTTTATTATCCTTATGGACAAAATTCGCGTACGACAAGAATTTGATTGTTTCGTCAAACCGATTGATTGGTGTATGTTCATAAAGATAATATAAACAATAAGAATAATAATGATAATTAATCTGTTTTTGTTGTATAATATATTGCTTGTAATTTGTAATATAAAACCACTCACCTAGTGGAATGATCAACAAAGGAACCGCCATCCAGAAGCCTCAACTTGGCGAAAAGCACGGCACTGACAAACGGAACCGCCGTGAGCTCCTCGAGATCAACCTCCACGGAGAATTTGTATTTCTTCTTCTTCATCATGAAGGCCATCTCACTGAGACACCGCACTTTGGATTCTGCTGCGCGTTTTAACGTACAGGTCCACCTGTGGAGTTCTCCACACTCTTCGCGTCTATACGCGCGAATTTATCTACGTCTCGATTCCAGCGATCGCGGACGATCCCGGTCGATGCATACGGCCGGATTTTCTTCGACCGATAGTCTTCCAATCCTGATGATTTTTACGCACGCGTAAACTTGATACGTTTTGAGCGAGTCATGTTTGGTTTTGTTTGTTTGTTTTGAAGAAAATACAGATTGAGATTTGTTTTCGGCCTCTCCCAGAGGGGAGTCTTCTTTGATGTGAACCGAGTTTACTCAGCCGAGCATTCGAACGGACTTTGGTGTCGTGTGATGTTCGATCTCCGTCGAGAGAAGCGACAATTTCTTGACGATCCTGAACGCTTCATCGACGAGCGTCTTCTTCTCCACGTTGTTTCCAACACGTCTTGCCAACACACCACGTAGATCGCTTCAAGATTCCGAAAGACGAGATACGCACGACATCGCTGTCATCTGAAATTACAAAATGAAGAGCTTGATTTCTTGATTGTAATTGCGAGCTCACTTGTCAGCTGGCAATTCATCCGTTGTTGTGCGTATTTCTCGTGAGACATCTCGTGAGAGAGAGAGAGAAAGAGAGAGAAATGCAAACTGCGCTAATTAAAATGACGAAACGTTTTGAAGATGCTAATTGCGCTAGGAAATGCGAACAAAGTCCGCTCGAATCGGGTTTCGGGAAACGCAAACTGGGTGAGCAACTGGTAACGCGATTAATGTAACTCGAGAACAGACACATCCGGAACAACCGGCAGTTAAAAAAGCACGAGGGGTCGAGCGCGAGAGACTGGAATTTAAGTTCGGTCCGACGATGGGAGAAACACGCGGCGAGAGGATCAGTGCGCACGAAGAAAAAAAAAAAAGAGAACAAGAACAAGAATGTTTGCTTAACGCTTGCCAGACAAATTCAACACTTTGATTACCTCACTGATTGCTTTTTTCGCGATACTCTAATCCGGAAAATGAGAGCAAAAAATATACACACATTCTCCTCGTAAATTTAATCGCGTAAATTTTGTCGCGCGTCTTTTCGAGCCAAAAATAAAAAAAAGAGATTATCTGCACTTTGTTTCTCTCTCTCTCTCTCTCTCTCTCTCTCTCTCTCTCTCAACTTCTACTCTGTCATTTTACAAAATTCATCGAAAAGAACACGTACAATTCGTCGATGTAAAATTTTTCGTCGCACCTTTCAAGTAACGAGAAGACAGCGATTGAATTCCTTACACACCCCATTAAATGTAATAAATATTTACCAATACTTTGAAACGAGCATTACACAAAAAATGACAGCCACTTTCGATTCGTGAGTGGCAATTATATAAACGTAGGTAGGAGATAAATTATCCAGTCGAGTTGTGGAGAGAATAAAAAATTTTTGTTACTCTCGCGCGGCGCCAACAAGTGAGCAGATCGATTGGGTCCAACATAACCTGAGGGAAGTGCCGTGTTACTTCGTGCGAGGAGCCAAGGCATTGCATCTGGTTGCATCGTGTACGCACGCATGCACGCAACGATCGTGAAAGTGTGGCACGGAGCGGAGCCAGCTCAACGATAAGAAAGAAAGGCGCGCGTCTTATCGCGCTCGGTCAGCCGTTGACCGAGAGACCGTCTCTCTGCGTGCGAGACCGTTGATGAGACAAATAAGCGGCATCTGACGTTTCTCAACAACTCGCGGGACATTCCCGAAACCGATTCGGTTTCATGGGAATCCATTTGCACGCAGAGAGGAGAAACGCCAGATTGTTATACGTCAGATCACGTCGACCCGACCGAGCGGACCAAGAAATTAAAATCGACGAGAAAAAAACGTCGAGGATTACACGAGTGTAACGAAAAGAACACACGTGTTTGTCAAATCATCACTTGACAAATACGATAACCAGTAACGGAGTTGTATTTTTTGTAATAATTTTTCAAAAAGCAACATCCGTTGCGAGTCGAAGACTGGCTCAGAGAAAATTTCATCTTGCAATTTATAAAAACCCGCGCGATAAATCACGGACGCGAATCTGGTCGAGATCGGTCGCGACGAGTTCGTGCTCCAGAGGTAGCGATTTATAACCTTTCGCGTGATCCATTCGCGCGACCGAAGAGAAACGCGCGATTTCCGCACGGAATTCTCTTTCTCTCTCTCTCTCTCGCTCTTTCGTGTCGTATATTCCCAACGTGAATATGTGCGGGATTATTGATGGAGTCTCGCAGGTTCGGACATGATCAAACACGAAGATATACTTACCGTGCTCTCTCTCTCTCTCGCTCTTTCTGTAGATACTCTCTCGTGTCGATACCAGTCGATCCACGCTAGCCGACTCCACGCACTCTCACACTTCTCATTATCACAGGCGTCTCTGTGCGAATTTCGCGACGCGCATCGACGTGTTCTGTTTCGTGCGCGAGATTGTTGTTGTTGTTGTTGTTATACAGTAACGCCGCGCTGTGCGTTAACGCGCGCGGCGGATCGGCAGCTTTTCTGGACGCGAAAGTGCGACTGCTCCACGAAAAGACCACTCGATCACTTCCGAGCGTTAATCAACCGTAACGGAGCTCGTCTCGCTCGCCTACGGTGCGCCTACGAACTGAACCAAACTGCACTCGGCGTGTTACGCGGACCGTGCATCTTGCGCATGCGCGCCTCACGCGGCCCAGTCACGTACCCAGTCGAGTCGAGAAAACGGGTTTCTCTTTAGCACTCGCACGCATTGTAAATAAATATTGAATTTATTCACTTTTTTGATGTTTTTTGATCGTCAAAAAAGTTTTCAAAAACATGTTTTCGATCGTTGAACTTTGTTTCTCATAAAAACAACAACAAAATAGATGATTAAAAAAAACCGAATTTTTCAATTCAACTTTTTTGAAATAAATTTATTACAAGTACATATAAATGTGTAGTACACACACTTGTTTTACATGATTGTCAATTATGGCAATTTTTATTTAAACAATCTTTGTTTAAAAAAAAAAATTGCGGTCATGATCTTACTTGGATTTAACTGATCTGTTACGAATATTTCCCGATCGAACTAACAGCATTGTTCGACCGGGTTAAATCGCTTCATTTTTGGCAAATCGAACAAATACGATCGGTCGATTTGCCAAATTGACGTTCATTTAAACGCTTCAGGAGCGACTCAATCCGATAAAAAACTCGCTGTCTTGTCACTCGAAAGTGGTAAGCAAGACGAACAGATCCGTTAGGTCTCTTTTTTTTTTATCCAAAGCTGCGTCAAGAACGATGATTGGCTCGTGAGAACAAGGCTTTAGTCTGTCCAATCACGAAACCGGACTGTGAATATCGGCCCTAATGCAGCTCCGGTGCAGAGAAAAATAACAGACCTATTTTGTACACACACATAGATATCGGCCATCCCCACCGAGGAAGGGATGTGTGTGTGGTCGCGAATGGCCGATTTTATCGTGGTTCTGTTGGTTTTCGTCAATGAGCCCACCGATAGCCGTCGATACTGGAAAACCATGTAAATGCAGACGTCGACCTTCAAGCGGAGCGTGCTCGAAATTTCGGGGTGACCAAGACGCGTGAGAAGAAAGAGGGGAGGCAGTTCGCAGAAGGTATCGCACCACGAGGAAATCTCCGTGAAGAGACGAAACACACGAATTTCGCACACACCGCGAAGGTGATCCCCCCGGTGATTTTTGCGTCTTGCGGCGGGGATAATCCGCGTTACGACACATATATGTACGTGTGCGTTACGGAACGGAGCGCGAGCTAGGTGACGACAATATCGGGGATGACTTGTCGTCGTCGTTGTCGTCATCGTTGACGAAAACACATCAACGAGGATACGGACGCGTTAGCTTCTGTCTGTCTTGTCGTCGCACGACGGCGATGCCGCCGCCACCGCGAATTTCGTACACTTGTTTTGCCAACCGCTAACCGCAATCGAGCGCATTATTTTGCTCGCGCTCTAATGAGTCGCGCTGATAGAATACTACGAGGGTGACACGGTTCAGAGGATTTAGCAAGGAGCGCGGAGAGAGAACAGAGATCATCTTCTCTCTGATGTTTACCCGTTCGCTTTCCGGGAAAACGGATACTGAATCGCATTCGCACCCATCTGAGAAACGACAGTTAATTGTGGTCTTGACAAGCAATTTGTAGTTTCGTACGTGTTCGCTGTCATTTGTGTCAAACCTATGTTCTTCTTTTTCATTGTAATAACATGGGACGCAAGTGAGAGAATAAACAAGGTTAATTCCCTCATATGTAGATAGAACTAATTGATTATGTATCTTGGAGCAATCGCAAAGGGATGCTGCTCCGATGTTTATTGATAAAAGAACTATGTAACTTGTCAGAAAGACATTGTAGTTGATAAAAGAAAAGACACAAATACATTAATGTCACATATATTTAAAGATTAGAATTAAAATATTTCAGAGTTGCGTTTGTTTATAAATATTAATATTGCAGATTTAGGTATGGAGGATAGCATGAGTGTAAAGTCTATGGAATCAGTGGCGACAAGTGACGAATATGAATTTGTGAACGAAAAAGGTAACAGCAAACAGCAACAAGCTCTCTTAGAACCACCCATGTTAAAAATTGCTAACAACGGCAATCTGGAGGATCTGCAAAATAATCTTCGTGAGGTTTGTGCATTTATCAAATCTGTATGGCTCATGATCTAACTTCTATAAAAATTTTGCAAGATAAGCTAGTCATTGATACAGAATTAAAACACAATAAAAATTGACACAAATATTTTGTACAATTCTCAGATGTAAAATCATAAACTTTAGAAATCTTTTAAAATTGTTAATAAGAGCTAGTTGCTTAAATAGTTAAACAGCTCTTATTTTTTAGTTTTTCCTGTTTATGTGACTTTATATAAATGTTTTCTCTATAACAATTATACACAGATTTTGACAGAGGATTCAAAAATAGAAGGTGGCGAATTCAAAATGACTACGATAAGTCAACATAATCGAGAAAAAACAAAAAAAGTAGGTCACAGTAAATTTTATGATGTCAGTCCTTGCGGTGGTTCATCAGAAAAACAAGATATCATGAAGCCTGAAGATTATCTCGAAGAAGGTAAAAAATAGTAAACAAACAGATACACAAAAACATCGTGCGTATAGAACTAAAATTCACAAGTTTCATATTTTGTGTACTTCAGAAATACAAGTGGAATTAAATACGTTATCACATGTTCAACAAGAATGCACTATTTTCAATGGTGTTACTTATCTGGGAGCAGCCGCAATAAATGCACCAAAATCAGAATGTGAAATACAACGTAACATGAACATATTAAATGCAGAACAGTCTTTGAACTTAGGAATAAAAGTTTCAGTCTCGGTGCCGAGTAGTTCACAAGGTTCAGTTATGTAAGCATACGTATTGAATTTTTTATGAATGTATTCATGAACACACACACGAGAGAAGAGACAAGTTTGTATTTACGTTAGTCGTATGGAAATTGATGTGAAAATCTTTTAGTTTATATGATGCTGGGACACAACAAGCTATTGCGCGTTACGAGGTGCAACGCATTTTATTTTACGCACGCGGTGAAAGTAGCGGTCCGTGCGCAGCGTGTTTCGCGTTCACGTGGTCACACGGTGACACTTTAGAATCTGCCATTTATCAGTGTCATGTTTTTCGTTGTGACATACCAGAAGCAGTGCGTATTAAATCATTCATATGTACATTAATATGTGAATCTTTTATATGTAATGTGTGTACACGCATATTTACATCATATAAATGTTTTATTTAGGTTGGACAGGTCTCAGCCTGCTTTTCGAAGGCTTTTCACAGAATACCACGTTCAATGACAAGTTCATTAACAGGTAGTGATTTTAACGGTTTCAATGCTGGAAGTGAAAAAGTGAATACCAGAGTGTTTATTTTCGAAGTCACAATGGAAATAAAAGAAGAAGACGGAAAAGGTGGATTTGGTACAGTCCCTAAAGATAGAAACTGTTTCAAATTGCGAAGTAACGTAGCAAAACAAGTTTGTTTGAGCATCCAACAAGTGTCGAGTAAAGAGGGTGGTATTACGCTTGAAGTCGAGCGGTGCTTCGGAGTTCTTGTTAGTCCTGGCCGAAATGTAAAACACAGCGATATGCGACTATTAGAGATGGTAAAAAGAGATTCACAGCAGCAAGTTAATTTTATGTCTATAATCAGCTCAGACGTTCGCAATATTACAACAATTTTACAGCAAGTTAATACCGGACCAATAATACAAGACAAACAGTGCTATAATATCTGCGGACGTTGGGATCCCGCGGATCCCGCTTTGGAAACTCTTAATATAGAGACACCACGAGAGGGTAAAATTTTCATGACTGTTGCTGTTGATCTTGTTATCAGAGATATTCGAGAACCCGTAAGATTTGTCATAGAAACATCAGTCAAGGTCTATCCACAAAATGAGAGATTTTGGTATTTTAACAAAAAAAATCTCGTGCAACAGTTTTATCTCAACTCCAAAGAGGTAAACTGTTCTTTCTTCTTATTAAAAAAAAAAAAAAAAAACTTGTGTGTGTATATAATTCGTATATTTTTTTTTTATACAACAGGTAATTTCTGGAGATGGTACAGAAATACATTACGAAGTACAGAGTATAGAAACATCTGGTGAATTAGATAGAAATAGATTAAATTTGGCCCTGAATCTAGCCTCTTTAATTAGAACGCCCTCTTTAACGAGTATTGACACACTTACACCTAAAGAAGAAATAGATTCAGGTAATAAAGTGAAATTCCAGGATATTAACTTGTTGACGTAGGAATAAAAAAAAAAAGCTATTTCACGCGCGTGCGCTTAACATTAAAATTTTTGTATCTAGATGGAGATGAACCGATGTTGAGTGGCACAGGTGAAGTCTCAAAGGACTGCTCGCAGGATGAATTAAATAGCTGGGCTGAAGTTTTAGACAGCTGGCAAGTTAACGAACAACGTCCGAAGCTTCTGATAAAACTCACAAAACAAGGAATTCCCGAAGCTTTGCGCGGCGAAGTTTGGCAACGTTTGAGCAATTGTGACAATTCACAAGAAATGATGGACAAATACAGAATGTTGATTACAAAAGTGAGTATCTGATATAATTTTAAATATAAAAAATAATTTCTCTCTCTTTCTCTCTTTCACGCAACATATATTTTGTTGTCAAAATAGGAAAGCAGTTGCGAGAGTGTGATTTTAAGAGACATTAATAGAACATTTCCAGCCCATGATTTTTTTAAAGAAACAGGCGGCTTAGGACAAGACTCTTTGTACAGAATAAGCAAAGCATACGCTGTTCATGACGAAGAAGTTGGATATTGCCAAGGCCTTAGTTTCTTAGTTGCTAGTCTGCTATTGCACGTAAGTGTGTGTAATTATCGTAAAATTTAATAAATAGACGATGACGTTTACCGATAAAACGTAATTTTTGTTTACAGATGCCTGAAGAACAAGCATTCTGTGTTCTGGTTAAATTAATGTACGATTACGGTCTTCGAGATTTATACAAGGATAGATTTGACAACCTTTACATGCGATTTTATCAATTAAATCGTTTGATAGAGGTAAGTTTTTAGTCATTTATATCTTACATGTATAAAGTATCTGTGTGTGGATCGATCTCTATATATTGTATACATATTTTGTATAATTTGGATTTCTCTCTAGGATCAATTACCGGAACTTTATAAGCACTTCTGTGATCGCGGCGTAGAAACGCACATGTTCGCCGCACAATGGTTTTTAACTCTATTTACCGCTAGATTTCCATTATATCTTGTCTTTCATATCTTGGACGTATTTCTTTTACAAGGACTCGACACGTTATTCCAAGTCGCTCTCGCTTTATTAATGGTAAGCTTTGAGTAATTTTATTTTATTGCGCAATTTCATATGTAACAGTGACTCCTTGTATATAAACGTGTTTCTTTATTCCATAAATAGATATTAAATAAACGTCATTTTTTGTCTGATTTTAGTTTTGTAAGAAGGAGTTATTGCAATTAGATTTCGAAAGCATATTGAAATATTTCCGGGTGCATTTACCGAAACGTTGCCGAAACGAAGAAGTCGCACGTTACGTTATGAAGTTAGCTTGTTCGGTGACATTAAAGAAGTTGAAGAAATACGAAGCAGAATTTATGACATTGAAAGGTAATTTCATATTCTACGTATGAACTGCACACTTTTCGGTTCACATTTAAACTTGATACTCATCAGAAAACACTACATACTGTTGCGTCCGTGTTTTTGATATTGTCGAAAAGCAACAGAGTGCTGTTACACAAGAGTTAAGCAAGATGTGATTGATGCGAACAGCTGAGACGAGCTCTATTCTTTGTTATCAAGAGAACGTTATGTTTGGCAAACAATTATAAAAAAAAATTAAATTATCTCTGTAAAATTGGTTTACTGCTACCTTATTGCTGTTGTAGCAACAAATCGCCTTTATGGAGCGCTCAGCCTCGAACTGATCCGTGAAATTGTCAAAAAAAAAGTTTTCTTTTAAGAAATTCCCAGGTATTTGTCGTATCCACAGTGAATTATGACGTTATAAGCAAGAAAACGTAGTTTTTTTTTTTTTTTTTTTTTTTTTTTTTCTAATATAGAGTGAAACAAATGGATTTTTCTTTTACTGCCACGGTCGATATTCGACGATACAGATTGATTAAACTTTGCCGAAATCTTCTTTTCTGTGCCACTTGTTTTGCATCAATATAATACGCGTCTCTTTCTCTGACGTCATAATTCAATATGGCTGCAACGAGAATACCCAAGAACCTGAAATTTCTATTGCAATTGTCACAACCTTGTGAGAGCCCGGACGCTACAATATCACGAATATCCGGTACATGCATGTATATTCCATGTAAATGTGGTATTCCAGTACGGTGTGTAGTTTTTATTGCTTGTTGGTTGTATACGAATACATACACATATACATATATGTGCTCTTTATACTCACATACGTATTACTTAAAAAGTGAGATATCTTTGCGTGACAAAAATAACTGCTCGCAAAATTATACGTAGACTATAATAAGTTCTCAGGCTGTGCCTTGAGAGAAATGTGTCTTGGGTCTAAGTCTCTTGGGTACTCGTTGCAGTTGTATTGAATTATGCAACGAGCGCTTAGGAGTCTTAAATATTTTCCTTTTGTAGCGTACTCGATAAAAAAAATGTATTTTGAATCAAAAATACACTCCAAATATATAGCAATGAGATATATAAGAATAATATACGCTAATATGCATAAAATTACATAATGCGCGATAGTAAAATAAATTATAATAAATTTATTACTTAGCGGGAAAACATCTGGATACTTCTTTACATGCAAAAGAAAGTGAATAATTTAAAATTTAGTTATTAAAGTTAAGTTTAAATATAATTATTTAAGTATATAATTTATATAAACATATGCTATAGAAATAATTTATATAAACATATGCTATAGAAATAATTTATATAAACATATGAGAAATGTTCAAGATTATAATTTTTAAATTTTGTAGCACATGATATTCTTTTCAATTATACATATTTTATTATTAGAAACTATTATTATTATTAAAATAAAATTTAGTATAAAATTTTCTTTTGTTTAAGAGTATCCAGAATTTTATTTGCTACTGTAAATTATTTAATATTATATTAACACATAAAAGTATTCAATATATTTTATGTGAAATAGAAAAGGAAACATTTATATTTATGTTACATGTGCCAATTTGACGAAGTATGTTTTTTTGCAAAGCCAAAGTATATAAATTTTTTTCTAGTCTTATTAAAAATTAATTTACACTTATTAATTTTTTATTAAAAATTAATAAAAGTGTCAATATTTAATTTATTTATTAAATTTAACGCTGTTAAACATTTAACAAACATTATATCGCTCTCTATCAAATAGGTAGAAATGCAAAAGGAATATTGCAAAAATTAACTTGTGATCAGGTGGTGGTTTACCTTATGTGATTTTTTCTAGATATTATCAACTATAAAAAAGTAAATGAATATGTATGTTCAATAAAGGCGAAATTCAATTCTATTCATAAAAAACATTAGAATAAAATAGAAATTATAAGATATTTTATTCGAAAGAGAGATTACGGTTGTATAATTTTTTTTCTATTCCGCTAGTGAATATAACAAACTCTCTTTCTCTCTTTCTTTCTCTCTCTCTCTCTCTCTCTTTCTCTCTCTCTCTCTCTCTTTTCAGTGAGCAATTGATCAAATACAGTTTTCATGATAGAAAATACTCACGTAAAAGCAAAAAACGATGATAGAAAAATATTATTTTATCTTTTTGCTGTTATTTTTTTACATTGATATTACATTGATATTACGATTGTCTCGATACGTGCTGTGAACATGTAGTGTAATAAGAGTTAGAAGATATGATTTTGTGTTACAATATTTTTCTTGTAAGTTTAAACAATTTTGTGAAATGTGTTTTGTGAAATTTGTTTATTTTGTCATTACATTGCAATTACTGAAAAAACTGATATTATGTTTGTTATTGGAATCCATGCTTATCGGCTGTACTGCTTATGTACATGACCTTGTATATCAGCTTTTTATTTATACATTATTTATTGCTGCCTTTTGAAAAAAAATAAATCATTCCAGAATATTTTTTGTTGTGTGAATTACCTGTTTATCCAAGATTGTCCCATTCCTAACAAGTATTGTCACATGTAATTACTCTGTTTCATGTTTTTTGTTCCTTGCTACACTTGGAAATGCATGAATGCGTCATATAAAAATTGCCAGCACTTGTATACTAATTTCTTTCCTCAGACTTCTGTAGAAGTAGTGCAACAATATATGTAATCAAACAATCACACTTAGGATTAGAAGAATAAAGTGCGTAGCATATAATAAAATTACTTGCGGCTTATGTACGTGTTCATGTGTGTGTGTGAGAGAGAGAAAGGGAAATATATATATATATTAAAATGGGATTATCTATATCAGTATATCAGATCGCGCGTTGTGAAATACATGAAACCGCTGATAAGCAGTAACATTCTGTGGCTAGTCACAAAAACCTTCTCAAGTTACTAAAAAATTGTTTGCACGTATAAAACATTGCGAACTATAGATATTATTTACATATGAAAAATGTTTTAATTTATTTATATGTATAAATTAAACAATTTTTAAAAAATATGTTTACACAAAATAGTATTGTGTATAATTAAAAGTCGCAATATCGATATCTTGATTGTCATTATCATTGTCACGCAAGGAGATGTTATTGTTACAAGATATTGAAATGTCTCATGTATCAGCTGCGCCAGCAGTTTAAATTTGGCTGTTGTACATTTCTTAACTGCAGTATATAGCGAACACCAACCACTCGTGTGTCAACAGAAAGATATCGTATCTATTAGTTATACTTGGATCATCTGTTTTAAAACATCGGCACAAAGCATGAGCCACACAGCGAAAGCTCTAACAAAGAGTACGGATATTAAATGTTTTTTTTTTTTTGTCATTCTTACGTGTGTAGTTTTTCAAAATTTATGTTTTACATTGTATTATATTCAAGATATAAAAAAACGTGTACTTCTTAAGATCTTTTATAATATGCGCTATACATTCAAAGTGATAGCTAATTCCAAAACAATCGAACTATATTATATGACAACTGCAATATAATGTTCAACACTCTTCTAAACTAAATTTGTTTACTGCTGATGTAGAGGCACAAGAAAATGCTGACGAATACAGTAATGAAGTGGAACAACTACGTGGCACAGTGGCCAGAAATGAGGAAGAGAAACAGAGATTGGAAGCAGAGTTGTTGCAAATTAAAGAAATGTTGCAACGCGAAGTAACTCGAGCAGATGCTGAAAGCCGTAGAAGTAACGTCATTATTGCCGAATACAAACAGGTATGTACAAAATCTGAAAAGTACAGAGTTTTAAATTGATAAAATAATTCGAGTTTTGTATGTACGCAGAACAAGTAAAAGATGCACTGTACGTTTCAGATCTGTCAGCGATTGGAAGACGATTACAATGCTGTAAAAAAAACATTGTGTGAATTACGAGTACGTGTATTTTAATTTCAATATATATCTTTCCTTCCTCGAGATTTTGTCTCTCTAAAACTTAAAATAACAATATACATATTTCAGGCGAAGGTCTCGAAATGTGAGAAATGTAGAACGTGTATAATAGATTCAACGAATATATTAGCGGACATTTCGCATCCTTTGGAAAATCGAATAGATCCTGTGCTCCATAGAGTTCAGGAGAGAGTACGCGAACTGGAGTTGGAACTAGCACAGACGAAATTGGCACACGTTGAGGCTGAGTGCAGAAATCAAGTAAAAAAAAAAAAATAAATAAATAAATTTTTTATAATCAGTTTTTTAGAATCAATATATCTCATTAACGTGAATTTTTACGTAAGGATCTGACGCATCAGTTACACGCTACCGCCTCGGAGCTGCAAGCCGCGCGAAATAGTTGGCCGTGGCTCAGCAAGACCTTGTCGAGTATAAAAGAGGCAGCGAATAAGAGGGAAGTTATGACTCCGGCTGCGTTAAGAGATTTGCGACGTGACAGCGCACCCGGAGCCGATTTACATCATCTGATACATTCTCGAAGTCGCGAGACACGGGACAATCTTAAAGAAATTGTGTGATGGTGAGTATTTTCTCCGAACACACAGAAAAAACCTTATCGCGACAAAACAAAAACCCCAACAAAACCATGATGATACATAATAAAAATCATTAGTGGCATTACGTAGATGTATAGACAAGAAATGTTTAGTTGTTTTTTCTCACTCGGAAAATTTGTTTCCCACAGACAAATTTCCCAAGAGTTACATTTAACTCTTTCTTCCCCACTTCTGCGAAAATGATCATATTGAAATTCAATACTCTCTATCCACGTTTTTATTCATGCTTTTGCAATGCAGACAAAATGTCAATAGCGGAGGAGGAATACGTACATCTCGGAGACGAGTCATATGCCAGCAACAAATATATATATGGACATGACGTATGTTCGTAGCTATATGTAATGCAAAGCGACTTTGTCTGTTGAACTAAACTCATAGGATACCATCACGCTCTCCACACGTATCGGCACACATCGAGTGCTTTCAGCGTCTCTCATTTTACACATTGCTACATCGTCGTGTTAGTTCCGTTGTATAATTTTATACGTCATGTCTTAAAAGTAGTTTTTTTTGTTTTTAATCTCTGTGATGTTTTTTTTTTCAACTATTGCGAGAGTGTACGTTAGCGCTTATGTCAATATCACTTCTTTCGTTTCTTCTTCCTTTCATTCATCTCACACGTGAGGTGGTACGAAAAGCTTTTACTACCCGATACTCATGCTGAAAATGACGCGGATTACTATCAGCAACCTACTGTAACAGAATTACTCTTTGCGTAACTCGCGAGCGCGATGAACTGTTTACAATAAAAAAAAATCAAGTAGGAAATAAACTCAAGTTTAAAAATACGCCGCGTTTTATATCAAACTAGTCTAAATTTGAAAGGGAGAAAATGCCGTACAAACTTCGACTGTGTACATAAAGCATTTTTCGAAAAAACAAAAAAAAAGAAAAACCCGATAAATGCGCAACTGCGAAAAGATTTTGAATATGTACACGTATGTAACAATTGACAAGCGGAGAATTGTTTCGTTTTTTGTTTTCTTTTTTTAAGTAACTTTTTATCTCGACTTAAAAACAAAAACGACGTAACATTCCAAAGTAATGTAAGAGTACGTTTTCTTCCATGTAACTTATAAATACATACATACATACATACATACATATATATATATATATATATATATATTATCGTATGTTAAGTTAAATCTGCTATTCCGCAAAACATGAATTTCATTTAACATATCCGACGAAAACGTATATCCAATTGTTCCGTAAAATTAGATATTAGGTTTGATATATTAATCGCTTTCTCTGCGTTTTAATTTTATACTTTTGTCACCGCACCAAGTAAACGTATTTATATAAAAATGTTATCTCTTGTTTTTATAGAACACGATAATTTTAAACATGTAACAAAATAGATGTACACGTGTAAATTACATTATTGTGTGGAAGAGATTTATACTCAGAATTTTGTTTGGTTTAGTAATTTTCGCACACTTTGTTTTTTGACAAGGTTTGCGTGTAGCAAGACTAAATAAAAAAAAAACAAAAACAAACAGAGCCATAGATTACGGTATTAAGGCACTACTTAAAACTGCAATTCTAGTAACGTGTAATTTTTGTCTAGTATTGTAAGTATTTAACAATAAATTTGCTATATATATATATATAATATCCTATTCGCAAGCACATTCTCGACTATCAAACTTTAGCTTCGTGCCACTTAAACTTATGATATGTTTATCCACGTACACAGATTTGCAAGATAGTGTTACTTAAAAAAACCAAAACACCGTTATTTAAGAAAGTATTAAAACTATTTGTATCAATCGCAAATTGTTTTTGTGCCATCAAGTCTTTGATTTGAAGTTTACTAATTCACAATTCTTTATTTTTTTTTGTTCTCAAATTGACTGTAAGATACATAATCAATCTTCTCAGAGTAACACGTATTATATTATACACGATTGCAAGCAAAGTTTTATGGTCACATTTGGCTCTCTCACATACATTTCAGAGAACAAGAATCACCACTTAAATATCAAAAACATATGGAAGAGACTTCATTTCTGTAAATACTAAACACAGTTGAAATCGTTTGCTAACACAGAATCATGTAAAGTCTTAGAGTATAAATTACGTATAATTATATATAAATATATACGTATTGTATACCCCTTGTAATTTTATTCTACCGTAATTAAAATAAAGAAGAATATCAGACACAGTCTTCATGTATAATAAAAAAAAAAAACACAATGTTATGTGGAAGTTTTGTTAATTCTTATGCCGATTACGTTTTCTTGCGTATCATACACAGGTGAAAAATGTGTTTAAAACATTACGTCTGGCCAGATTTCATATCGACTTTATTTGATCAAAGTCTTTGTAACAGTGCGAACGTAACTGGTATACAGTTTTTTTCAGTCTTGGTAAGTTTCCAACAGAAGTATACTTAAACGATAACAAAGCAATACTGATATGAACTTACTGACTTATCACGTTTTTTCAGTAATAATAATACGATACCAGATGTATATCTCAAAAACATAAGATGCGTTTAGATTGCGGCGCAACAACACTCCCGGCAACACGGGCAAGTTGAGAAACAATTCGTATCGCATTTGTTGTGGCACGGCAACAAAAAGTGAGAGGTAACTTGTGTTGTCAACAATTGTGTTGCGCCCGATCCAAGCGCAGCTTTAGACTTATCAAACTTAACGTTTACTACTGAGATTATACATAGATCAGATTTCTCTCTGAGACACGTTGGAAACACTTGGAACAATTTAAGTAATCAATAAGTCTTACGATCGTAAGAAAATATATGTTAATATATACATAATGTGTATATGTTAATATATACATAATGTATGTGTGTGTCTGTCGATATGTGTTTTTTTTTTATGTGTATATATATATTACGGCTCCAAAAGAGAGAAAGATTCTTCCTCAAATCTGACGTTGATCCGGATTGAATTGTGACGCTTTTTCAAAAAAATCTCGAGTACTTTATTTGAAATATTCGAACAACAGAACGTATAAATTCAGGTCCATATAGGATTCAAGTCGAATATAGATCCACGTCGAATCTAGATTCGTATCGATTTTGAATCCATACATCCGGATACATTCTATCGTTGAAAACAAAAAGAAATTGAGAAAAATGTTAGAAGAGGCAACTTTGTTTCGCAAATATAGGAAGAACGTCTCGATAACTAACGAGTAACTAATACTGTCAAACACAAAAGATAAATTCAATGCGCATGTGTACAAATTTAGTGTAATGATACATTTTGCCAATACGTTACTTTCGGATTATTATCGAATATTCCGAGTAGAGCAAATTTGAATTTTAGGACAAGAATCGATATTCGTATATATTGAATTCTTAATGTGTGTGTGTGTGTGTGTGTTTCAACAAGAATACTTTATTTTCTAGCGACATATAAAGAAAGATATTCAGACTGAGATTTGTTTGATATTTGTATAAAGTTTGAGAAACATTTTTCATTTTGCAAACACGTTTCCTTGTGTTGAAAAGAAAAAACGGAAAAATAAACAGCGACGTGAAAATTACTATATGTAAAACACATGCATTTTGCTCACACACAGATCTCTCTTTCCCTCTTTTTATATATAATATATTATTATATATATATATCTTATAAAACTATATAAAAAATAAGTTGTTCTTAACAAGTATGCGAACAATTATCTTTTGGTTTTTCTCGAGGTTTTTATATCACACAAAATAAGTTTGAAATATATATATGTTAGATGTAAACAAGAAAAAAATCTTGATTGCTATTAAAATATATAGGAAGAAATGGTTAAACGGAGAGAGTAACTAAGTTTTAAAAATAACAAAACTAATCAAATAGTTCAAGACGCAATTTTTATAGAATGTCTAAAATGCAAATAAAGTTCTGTTTTCCACTTTCCACCTATGAAAGTCTTGCACTGCAAATTTTGCAAAGAATACTGACAAATGATATGTGAGATTATATTGAAATGTCTCGATCATATTATATCCTCTTTGCACTTGTCTTTTTTTATCGCATTAAAAAAAAAAGACGCTTATCTCTCTTACTTATCATGTTCATTATCATGTTCCATTTCATTGGAAGCTACGTCACTTTCGTTTTCAGAACTACTGTCAAAACCCTCATCATCATGGCCCACGTAGTCAACAGCATCTAATAATATATAAATATATGTATTATAAATATAATATATATATATATATATATACATATAAATATATATATGTATATATTATAAATATAATTTTTTGAAGTGCGTAACCATTGCAAAGAAGAGAAATGTAAATTACCTGCAACTTCGCCAGGAACTCTCAGATTTTGTCGAGCCTGTATATCAAAGTCAACCGGATTGGCCATGTCCAATATTCTCAGTAACCAGATTGGAAAACCGTTTTGCATTACGTAAATATCGTTTTCGTTCTCAAGATCGTTTTCCAATACGTCAATGAGCGGTTGCAAATTCTCAATATCATTAGCGTCCACAGCCATCATATTGTTACCCTCGTCATCTCTATTGTTATTTGCCAAATCGCCGTTTTCCACCTCGACTGGTTCCACAACGAGTCTCGGTGCTTCCGCAATGCTCGGCGACTCGGAGTCCGGTATGTGATCCTGAGCAATGCTCGACAAGTCGTACTCAGGCGTTATATCTTGTGCGGAAGCTGAATTCGGATAACCGGAATCCATAATTTCGGGAGACCAGCTGTTCGGAGGAGTCTCGGGTGGAGAAGACAAAGACGGCTTAGCTTCGATATTATCTACTAATCCGGTAGTATTGGATATTGCACTTGCATCTTTACTTGTACCAACTTGTGCAATCCCGTCATTTTGCGATGTGAACTGATTATGTGCTTCCTCGTTACTTTTACATTTGTTACTTTCTAAACTATTAATCTCCTTGGCACACTTTGAAGATGAGCGTTCGTCATCATTTTGCGATCTAAAATTTGATAATTCTCTAGGCGGGCTTTTATGGCTTAAATTTGATTGCGTAATACAATTACTAATTGCACTACTGATTATATTTTCCATGTGCGCTTTCACGTGATCATTATCTGTTGTCGCTACTGTACAACACGCATTTTCCTCTTTGTGCTCAACGTTCTCATTGTCTAACATTGTGGTCGGACACGACTCCATCGTTTGTACATCATCGTTCGCAATATCAGTTTCGCGCTTAATCGCGCTTTTGTTTTTGGTAAATCTGTCATTCACATGTTGCTTTAACTCTGTACAAGACAAATTGTTATCACTCGCGAATTCTTTGTTTTCTACACACACGTTTGGCTGTGTGCGAGTATCACTTTTTGAACTAGTTGAAACTTCACTGTTCGATAAGGTTGTGCACTGTGCAATTGTTTCTATAAGAGTATTACTATTAGATATCTCACTAGTATTGTTCAACAAATCAGTATCCGATTCAGCCTCTTCAATGGTTTCTCCTGTTTTCGATGATGTTCTACTATTCATTGGAGACATTAACCGTTTGCGCTTTTTCACATTTCTCTGTTCAACGCTATTGCTAGTAGACTCTTTTGTACAAGGTGAACTTGTAAATATTGGTTGACTAATAAAGCTGTTACCACTAAATGACACAATCGCATTGCTATTCTCTTGTGTGTAATCTTCTTCTGAGGGACATTCCTCGATGTTTTGTATGCCCGTGAATTCTACATCTTTCACAGGCGCGTCATTCGGTATTTCAGATTGACAAAAAGTACTGTTCAGTAAAGACGAATTATTGTAAAATTCATTTTCGCTATAATAATTTTGCGGACAATTATCCCATTCGGAATTGAGGCCGAGCGGTTGATCTGGCGAGGTCGACGAACGCGAGACAGACAAAGAAGGATGAAAATTTAACGACAAACCAATCAACTCTTGCGCGGTTCTAAATTTCATCTCGTCGTCTTGCGATAATTCTAATCTATTGTCGTCTGCTGACGATTTGTTCGTTGTATCTTTTAATTCTAAATGATTACAAGTAGCATTTGCTTCCTCAAACATCTCATCTAAATTTTCTCCATCAAATAAGTAAGTATGTTCTTGATTAATAGAACGATTTTCAGTAATAATAACGCTAGATTCTTCGTTCCAATTGTCAGTGTATAAATTTTGCCAAGATTCTGCAATCGCATGTGCACGTGTTTCAGGAATTGGTATTTCGTAAGTATTTGAATCAGATTCTGCGCAACCGTAATCCGAATCATTGTCATGTGCAAAATCAAAATCAGCCTCATCAATATCAAATTCTGATCCAGACGAGTTTTCTACATGGAGTACAACCGGACCGTCCTCTCGGTCTTCAATAACCCATCCCTCTTCTTCCAGAATAGTTCTCAGTGTATCTATTGAAATGGTGAATTTGCGCAACACGAAACCCAACACTTTTTCTAGACTTACTTCACCAAATGATTCGTCTGCAAATCTGGGAATGTCATACATCAAGAAATTGGTATAATATATTGCTGTATCGTGTATTTTTTGCTCGTCTGAACGACTGTCTCTTTCTACAGGATATTCATATGTAGCCACTGTGCTAAGTAATCCATCCGCTCCTAATTCTTCAATGGGCTCCTCTATTGAATGTAATCGATGAAATACTGCCATTTGTGTGCATGCACCTAATTCCTCAGTGCCTGCAGGCCCATAGCAAATTCCATGAAATGTTACATTGTAACACGGATATCTTGTTACAATGTTCTCTGCCCTGTGTAAGTAAACAATGTTAGATTATTTAGAATTCTTTCAAAAAAAAACTTTATACGCAACTCACCAGTCTTTAAATTGATTTCTTGTCCACTCAAATTTATGATCTGCATGTCTGAAGCCTGAGAAATTCGAAAATAACACATTGAAATCCGCATTTGGCGTTGTTATTATCACCACTTTTGGCTTGATATATCCAAAAATATTAAAAGGAAGATCTTCTAACGTATCAGGGTACAAATGTTCAATTCTAAAAATAAGACAATTTTTTTTTTATAAAATCAGCTTTTATCTTACGATACCTTGAAAAAAAATAAAGAAGATTATAATGTTTATACAATATATATACACAACATACAATTCAATGCAAATTACAGCATCTGTATTCTTCAGTTTCTGATCAGGATGTGTTACACTGCCTTCACATATTTCAATTGTAAGAGGTCTTTTTCGAGGATGCAAGTATTCTGCGTTCAATGGCATTGCTTTGTGTTTATGATATTCCAGAAGTTCTCTGTCAATATCGACACATAGTATCTCCTCTATTTCATTTATAGCTTTCAAAAACTTCACAAAGGTCAGTTCTGCACATCCAAAATCAACAACCTATCAAAACAAAACACAAATTTTACATGATTTTATTTACTAAATACATTAAAAAACTCAAGAGTGTTTCAACACAAGCATTAAATTCAAAATATTCACATATGAATTACATCTACGTGATATTCCTACGTGATAAATTGTAAAAAAAAAAAAAACATTCTAAGTGATGGAGTTTATGTCATTTTTCCCAATCATTTTCTATGTGATGTAAATAAATCGACTCTGTTACACTATTTGTATGTTTATCCCTCCTGTATTATGATAAAGCAACAGAAATTATTGTATTTGTTGCCAATACTCAAAATCTATACCCTGTGTCACATGTGCTATAGATTTCCAGTATATTGGCATTGAATATCGAAACACAGCCTGAGACGCGCGGATACAGAAAAAACATTAATTACTTACCTTCCGAACTTGTCCTTCGTACGTGTGTTGAAGTACGTCCACTACCGCGTTGTATCTCTGTATGTAGGCCGGTGGTGAGAACCTTAATTCACATTTAGTCGTCGAAAGCGGTCTGTCGTCGTATATTTCCTCGAACATCTCGTAGATGGTTTCAGACTCATCGTGTCTCGCGGTTTCTTCGCACAAAGCTCTCAATTTTTTTACGCGATAGCTATTGTACATATATTTCCCGAGCAGACACAGCAAGTGGAACAACACGATAACCATTTTTGCAAGACTTTTTGTATGACACACTCTCGTTGTATGTTTAATATTACGTCCCTAACGCAGTCTAAATGTTCCTTTAGTTCTTTACTATCTACCCTATCGTAAAGTACGTGTTGTATCTATATAACAATGTGCCACATGCGCAGGATTACCGGCAAGCGACAGAACTTTTCTCCCACTCTCTGAAGATTCAACAATTTCGATTGAGCTCTAATCGAGCCGTGATTGGTCAGTCGATTCTGCGAAACAAATTCGATAGCGATTGATCGATTTCAATGAAATAATCGATCGATTCGAGGCCATAGCCTACACTCGATTCAATTAGACGAGAAAATTTTACTGCGCATAGGGGAAGAAAAGCGGGCAAAGTAGGGATAGCGTTGCGTGCAAGATTGGTGGAACACTTGCTGACAGCCAATTGGTTGTGAAGTAAGAAGACTTTTTTAGCAGGGGAGGTGCGCGACACGGACGAGTTTTCGTCCGTCGAAATTCTCTTCTCTACTTGAATCGAGTGCTTACAGCTGTAAAGTTTTGCAGTTGGCAATTGATATAAAGTTTATAACCGGCCGGTGAAGATGATCAAATTTTAGTGATAAATTTTGCAATCTTCACTAAATGGGATTCTCCTGCTTTTGCATAAAACAGGTATCGTATTATTAATCATAAAAAGTTACCAAAACTCCATATTGAAAAACTTTAGTCTGTTACTTAACAGAATATATCGCAAAATTTTCAAATTTAATTTAATAAAAACTTCAATTTTTATTAATCTTTTTGCAAAAGATTGATTTTGCTCGTTTTAAACGTGTCTCATGTCGAGATCGACTAATCGATTTAGTGGTTCGATCAATAAATTTATTGCATATTAACATTTTGCTTTAAACATTTACACACACGAGGTCGGTATGAAAAAGATGGATAATATAATGAATTATAATAATATTCAGAAAAAATGTTTCATTGTTATATATATATATAATTTATTTGGAGAATTTCAATAATATAATTAAAATAATTGTATATATATATATATATATATATATATATATATATATATGTGTGTGTGTTTTTATATATGTATATATATGTATATATATATAAAATCATAGATGTAGCAGTCTACTCAGTTTCTAAGTAAAGCGACGGTACACACGGCGATGACATTGTGCATAAATTAAACTAGTACCGAGAGATGTTCTTTCTCTCTTTCCTTCTCTCTGTACTCGAGTAGCTCTTATTTGCACATGTATACTCACATGATTGTACAAGCCGATGTTGTTTCAAATCTTATAATTCAAATGTTTCGAGACAAAGATTTCTTGCTTGTCCACGTGTAACATTAGTAGTAGACTCGACATTACATTATTTCGACACATTATTCCATTTATATGTTATATATATATGCGTGTGTGTATCGCGCGCGTGTATAATATCTGTATATATTTTTATATGCATGTATACGTGCAAGTGTATATATATATATATATATATTATGCACGAGATCTCTGGATGACTGTTACAATCAGTCCACAGGAACATAAAACACAATATAATATTATTTTAACGATAGGTCTATATATTTACATAATATCGTAGCATCTATACACGTTCTTCTTGAGTGAACGATCGTTCCAGATATTTTATACGGAGGTTACGCGTACATTCGCTTGGTTTTTTTCTTTTGTTTTTTAAATACGGATTGTCGGTAGCTTGTGTTTACACCTGGTTGCCCGCTTGAAAACATGATAATAAAATTAGCGAAGTAGGTGCAGTCAAAACACCCAAAGGAAAATGTGTGTGTTTTATATCACAAGTTTTTATTTTAAATCACAATTCACTCCAAAGAGTTATGATTTTGTTTTTTGAGCGTACATACTTTCTTGTTTCATCGAAAAAAAAACTAATAAAATACACATGCGTAATGCATATAGATTGTTATAAATAGTAATAGCGCGTTATGAAAAACATGTTTCTCTCTTGAAATACTGCCGTGCAATGTGTGCAATCTCGCGGCACACATATCCGAGTTTAAATTTAATAGAAAATAACATGTGTGTGCTTTGTTTTTTATATGGTAAAAAGTATACGTGGAAATTTTATAAAAAGTTTGGTTTTTAATAAAAATACACGGGAGAAAAATGTCAATTTTTTAAATGTTCTCTTGTGTGCGACTTTTTTATCAAGATTGTTTTTAAAAATATCAATACGATCGTCGTATGGAAGTGATATTTTTAATTTTAGGCAAGCAATTGCATTTTAACTGCATATTTTATAGACGTTTAACGAAATATTTGAGATATAGAAAACTTTTATATCTTGTCTGAAACAAAAGATAAGACAATTTGTTGGGTGTGTGTCTGTGTATGTGTGTGTTCGTTTTAAAAAATATCGAATATTTGTCTTTATATTCTGATTATCTCATATTTGGCTTATCATCATCAAAGAAGTTCATCATATATATATATATGTCGAGAATATACAATGCCCTTGGAGAGAATAGTTGCTTATAGAAAGATAGGCACGAGAGATGTAACATCTGCTTTGAGTAGATTATCAACAAGAATATTTGTTATATAAATATCGATTATATTAAATTTAACCGTTTGCGTCTCTCAACCCTGTTTGTTTAATAAAAGACGTTCGACGATGTGTGCTTAAATAATAACATTCTTAAATTAAAAAATTAAAAGAACTCTCTCTTTGAAGTTTCTCTATTAATACGCGTGATTATGCTTATAAATAAAACATGTAACGTTTATGTATGTATATATAAATATATGTATATAAATACCGGCGAGGTTTTACTTTTTTTTTATACACACGATAAATATAAATTCTCACCATGACACATTTAAGGAGTTATTCTTTCTTGATTCGCGAAAAAGTCTTCCTAACTACCGCCTACGTGTACAATAAAATCATATCACAAGTTTCGCAATTGTTTATCTCCGATATTTACACGCAAAACCTATATTGTGATAAGATACTACCAGTAAGTATCACATAGAGCAATATGATATTTCAATTAAATACATCATAGAGACTATGTATAAAGTTAACGATTCATTTCTTAACCTTTTAACTGCAGCGCAATTCAACACAAAAAGCGTTCGCGGCGGCGGCGGCGACGTCCGCAAGTGACGAGCGATTTTTGTTTTCTATTATATCGAACATATACGTTGTATTTCCGCAATGTGTATGAGAGAGAAGCTATTTTTTAACAACGAATATTCGCCGTCTGCAGAAAAGGGTTAATCGTGAATTTTATTACGGAACAGAACAACAGGCGGGGTATATATACATACATATTTCAGAGAGAACAGACTTTTCTCGCTCGAATAATAAAATAATTTAGTTACTTTCACAGAGTAGATTTTTTTTTTTTTATATATAGTAAGCTCAAGCATATGACTGATCCAACGATATAGCTATTTTATTTCCCTTTTCAACCCAATTTCTGAGACGTCCTCTGAGTTCTTCGAGACTTTTCGATTTTGCCTTGTTTATCCTCTTGTACTTGACGTCTTTTGGCTTTGTCACGGATCTGTGGTTGCTCATTACCCTGTTATACGTTACCTTAAAACAATACAAAAATCGATTTGTGACAAAAATGTGTTTCAAGACGTTTCAACTTAAATACAGTGTCAGAGTGTCACTGTTTCTTTACCTGCGCCTGCTGGCTTTCGTCTCTGGGTTTCTCAGTGGGCGAAGAACTCGTCTCCTGAGCCAGTCTCTCGAAACTACCGTAGAGATCCTGCAGCCTACCTTTACCGTTGCCCAAGTTTTTTCCCCTCTTGTCTTCGTACTCGGAGATTTCCGTCGATTCGGATGGATCCTGATTGTTTTCGCTATCACCGTCTTCTTCTACGGAATAGACGGTCTCCAATATCTCCGGTCTTCGGAGAAGACCGTTGCACCGTCGCAACGACGAATATTTGCTCGACGGCTCAACCGCGTCGGACACGGAACGAATCACAGTTACGTCAGTAATATTAGAACGAAACCTGCGGAGAAAGAAATAGAGAGACAATTCACAAAGTTGAACACACGTACTTATATTAAAATTGCAAAGAGTAAAAAAAGATATTTATTTTTTGTTTGCTCTCGCTTGTTCTCAATTTTATTTTATACATTTATATAAAGATGTTTATTATTTGTCTCTTCACAGATGTGATTTTCGTTAATCGATTTGCATCATCAACACGCACCTCGGTGGAGCTGGATCGTCGGCGGTTTCCTCGAGCACCACGGCGCTGTCGCTGTCTCCCAAACTGTCCAATCTGTCCAAGGCGTCGCAGGGCGGCGAATCTCTGGTGCCCGTGCTCCTGTCCGCCAATCGATTCTGCAACTGCCGGATCACTCTCTGTTGTCGCAGAATGATTGATTCTCGCTGACTCAGACTGGCTTCGATCTCTTTCTGCTTTCTACAGAGTCTCGACTCGAACAGCAGAAGCTGCGACGACAGCGTTCGCAGCTGCTCGGCCTTTTCCCGCGTCAATCGGGCCACCAAATCTTCCTGCGGAATCTCATCGTGAGTATACGACAACAAAAACAAAACATCGAGACGCCCGAGTCTCTCTGACTGTATAAATTATATTAATTTCCCATCCTACGCTCCCTGTCACATGTTTACACGGATGTACAATATTTACTCGCGCTGATACTTCGCAACGTAATAGGTGTACCTCGTGATATATTAGTGTCACGTTATTCGCTTCGTATATTAAGTAATTAATCAGCGGGGCGATCGTTATATTATCAATTTATAATGTTGACACGCGCAGAGACTCTCTCTCTCTCTCTCTCTCTCTCTGTTTATTAATTTCCTTAATTAATGTGCTGTTTAACTGCTCCGTCTCTCCTTTCTTCAAACATCGGGATGTCGTGATGTTAGACGTCCGCGTATGTACTTTTGACACACCGGTTCGGGTACAAGAATATTATCTCCGTAGTTCTTATACGCGCACCGCGCGCCGAGTGGCGTGTTTTGCCTTTCGCTGCTCTCATCGATGCACGCGTCAAACTACATGTTCGCAATGTACGATATGTAACATATACGCGCGTATACCGTATCCCGCTTTGCGTTGCTCTCCGTGCCCATCACTTCCTTCCGTTCTTCCGCAAGGAACAAGACGAGTCCATTACTCCTCGCTACTGCGTAAATCGCAACCGGATTAAGTGGCTATTGTTGTTGCGCGCGGCGCATTTTGAGAACGAACGCACAACGAGAGTAAAACCGAACCGCGAAAAGAGATTCTAAATAAAACAAAATAAGATTAAAAAGAGGAAAAAATTTGAAATTTATTAAATTTATTTATTTATTGCATGCACCATTTGATATATGATTTTAATATTTAAAACTGATATTACTTTGATAACAAATGTTTAGAAGAAAAATTGTTATTGCTTTAAAGAAATTGTGTTTACAGAGGTGTGAGATGTTTGTCTCGCGTGAAACTTCATCGGGGAAAAAGTTGCCGTTACAAAATATATAACAAGCGTATCACACAATGTATTAATAATGCGCCATTTGAGTTGAACGAAAAGTATGGACGAGAAGTTGTTATCCGACGCTCCACCGTGTATTTCCACGCAATCTCTCCCCATCGGGGGAGGATGTATTCCGTGCATATGTACTACGTCTGTTTCTCCCGCGCAATAACCGGAGAAAGGGCGGGATAACCGGAGAAAGAGAATCATTTCGCAGCAATTATTCGCCCCGTAGATTGCCGGCAAATTTAGTGGGAGAATTTCTTTCTTTTTTTTTTTGCTGAAGAGCTACTCTCGGAATTGTTCGTGGTCACGCGAAGTCGGGCGCCGAATCGTACGATATCACGAGACGCGTTCTGACTTATCCCGGAAGCGCACGGAAATCCTATTTATGCTAATGATTCGTGACAGCAGTGCCATTTTGCTTACCGGTTTATAATTTGTCTTGCTCCAATTACACTAGAGATAATAACGCACGAGATATCGACGAGTATTTTAGAGACAAATAAATAAACGCGATTAATAAACTCGTATAAGTGCGTAGGGGGAAAAAAATAAAAAATTTCAAAAGGAAAAAACGACGAGAGAGATCATAAAATGTGTTCATCGATAAAACTTCGTTTTCCAATATAGTATATATATGTGTGTGTGTGTATATATATATATATATATATATACTATATAAATACTCGACTCGAATTTGAAGGATATTTCAATTGCGGTTTGTTTGTCTATAACATGAAAGCGAGCGAAACGGTTTTTTCGTTCAAAGCGATGGAGAGATACGTATATTTTGCCCGGCTCGCGTATTTTAAATAAATCACCGTGTATCTAATATTTCACCGTCCGTAACATCGGGCAACGAGCTGTGTTTTATGGTTTCCAGAGGTAATAGCTTTGATCGATCGTTTCGCGTTTTTTCCCTCTTTCCTCCCCTCCTCCTCCGAACAGACCAATCTTCTCATCGAAACGAGAATTGTGTGTGTGCGACCTCTTTGCATGCAGAAGTTCCTTCTTCACTGACTTGCCTGTAGTTTGAGGGTCCTTCGCCAGGCGAGCATTTGGTGGGCCTGTGCGCGTTGCCTCGCCCTGAGTGCCGCTATGACCGACTTGGCTTCCTCCAATGACGTCACTTCCACTTCATTATTGTCCTTCACCTCGCCCGACAAGTCACCGACTCGTCGGTCCTCGTCAACGGTAGCCAATATGCAGCTGTCCATCGACGTCTCGTCGAAGCTGCAAACAGAAAGTAGCACGGTGAGTGACTCTCTCGGTCGTTTCGCATCTGTTGCAACTTTCGGTGTAGCAAATACTCCGGGATGTTAAACAAAAAAAAACACTTCAAAGTAAGATGTACCTTATATTAACGTTTACAAAAAGCAAAAAACAAAATATCTCCGACCGAGTTGCAATAAAACGTTGATGTTTTTTTTACACACAAACGAAGCCACAACCGCAGCTGTCGATGCACATATGACATATATATATATAATGACTCTTCATTAAATCTAAATTAACGCAAACATACGGAGACTCTTGATGTGAGTCTCAATGTGAAATACTATATATACGCAAGAAGTACGACGTCAGTTAGTTATATCTTTTATTTCGATAATTGATTTTATTTTTTCTTTTTACTTTTAAAACTGGAGTTTTCGCGCTATTCTTGACGCTATATAAAACTCGTGTGCGTGAAACCGATATCGATCTCTATCTGGAAAATTTACATCGCGTGCTGTATATCAAATGCATACATCTGCGGTTCTGTGCATAAAATCAACCAAATGCCCCATGTGTTGTGACTCACGTCAGTGGTCGATGCAAAAAGAAAAAGAAACGCAAGCTCGCTCGTCTTGGACAAAAGTTAAACTCGGCTTTCAATACATAATAAGAGAATAATGTCGACAGATTATACATAAGTGCACCTATGTATAATCAATCTTTTTTTTTTTGTATGTTTGCTCGAGAAAACTTGTGAAAGCGCAGACTCGAGAATAAAAACTTTTGACGTGGCGAATGCATCGCCGAGAATAATTTTCAGATGTGACCGATAGAAAGAGAGAGAGAGAGAGAGAGAGAGAGAGAGAGAGAGAGAGAGAGAGAACTTTGCTCTATTGTACGCGTGTGAAAGTAAACGCGATCGAAGTGTGGCGCGCAATCTTGGAAGAGAAAACTTCTATTTCTTTTCAAACTAAAAAAAAAAAACAAACAAACAAACAAACAAACAAATAATCTTCCATCAAATTACCTCGATATTTTATTTCTCTACGCGGATAAAGAAGAATTCCTGAAAACTCTTTTAACAGAAAAAAATTGAACGTTATTCGCGTGCTCTTTATTCCCGACACTCCTTAACCGACACGTCTCTGCACACAGCCCGGCAAACTCGGAGAGAAAGAGAGAAAGAGAGGGAGAGAAAAAGAGAGAGGAAGTTACCGTCGTCGTGTATTCATTCCGATTGAGCGGAGACAAATCCGCGAAGAATACAAACTGTTAAGGCAATCTGCATAACTCGAGCGAAGAGAGAGTTCGAATCATTTTACAAATTTATGTGCGTTCTCTATTTAACCGCAGCATGTATTTACGCAAAGCTCTTCTCTTTTATCTTTGAGTCTCAGTCTCTCTCTCTTTCGAGACTCCGCTGACTAATTAACCCTAAAATAAATTATGCATGAGTCACGAGGCCGCGCCGGTGAATTTGACACTTTTCCTCTCGCATGATCGATCGATCGCGCCCTGCGTGAGAGCGAGGGATCGAAAAATCCCCCACGGTGCGTACGCGGATGGAGAAAGAGACGCCACGTCAGGTAACCGCTCGAAGAGCGAGAATATGGACCCGCTGCGATATAAATGCGAAAACAAAAAAAAAACAAACAAAAAAAAAAAGAATAGCCGATGATCGAGACAGCTTTTACTGCGATAGACACAGGCGTTTAAATTGTGTCTGTACATTGCCTACATATTGTCACTTTTATATGCGATGGCTAATTATTTGCAGAATGTACACACAATAACATACATATAGAAATTAATTATCAATTTTTACACGTACCTATTTTCACGGTTAATTACTCGTACATACGTGGAGACCGCGCAGTCGAAATGTTTTGACAAGATTCAAGTGCATAGAGTAATTATTTAATTGATGGATTAATTACACACACTGCCGCACTTGCTAACACGCCTTGATTGCACTTGTGATCATTGGAAATTGATCTAAATTTGTTGACTAAGCACCCGTTTGTTATCTCGGTCTTCGCGCGCAGTGTCTCCGCGTGATTAACGATATTGTGTACATGTATATTTATATAAAAGGGAACGTCGTGTTTGGCTTTTCGTCAGAAACTCAATATGGGAGAGCTCGTTATCGTCTGATTTCTCGTGCGCGATACAACAATGCGTCACCCTTAGGGGCTCAAACGTCTGAGATGGATACCGCCGGCAAATATTTCGTGCGCGGTATTTCGAGTCTATCTCTGCTACGGTATCTACACATATGTGTGTGTACATATATGTATATATATATATATATATGTATATATATGAGGGATACGTGTATGTATCATATATAGCGTACGTACGTACGTATGTGGCATGCCCGAGTGCGTGTTGCGGCCAGATGGGTATTGTGCGCAAATCCGCGTGCACGGTGGCGGCGTGTCTCATGGCGACCCGCGTGTACACACAGACGCGCCGCAGAAATACTGGGCGCTCCGGGAGCGCGGATATAATGCTCGATAGGAATTACAGTCACACAGAGTGGCGTCAAAGGGAGAGCCCGTGAAACCGCATACGGTCGTTTAGGCCGCTGCCAGATTAAAAGGACAGACACTTCTTTGATACAAACACTCACATTTCTCTCGAAAGGGGAGGTGCATCAAAGGCGTGCGTGAAATAAAAAAATATATATAATAATAATAATAATAATAATAATAATAATAATAATGTAAAATATAAAATAATTAAGCGCAGAAAATTCCGCCTCTCAAAGGTGTTATATTTATAATTACAAGATTATATGTAATTAATTAATGAGTAATTATAATTAAACGTATAATTTAATTTAATTATATGCACATATATGATTATTTTTAATTTACTTTTTTAATCATATAAAAGAGCTATAGTACATACACATATACTGTAAATCTCATTAATTATCTTTAACGCAATTATGACTCGCACGTATGATTCGACGCCGCGCGAATGTTTTTTTGGATTGAAGAAGAACAGGTGCACTGTGTTACTTACATCAAGATATATCGAGTGTGAATAGCGGATTGTCAGATTAGCTCTCCGAGCTCAAAGCGCGTCTTTAAACGCGAACGGTGCAGACACAGGTGTTCGAAGATCGCCGTCTTTGGTTATTACACCTGCTGCTGTGTTAAAACGTTCGTACAACGGACGTTTCCTCGTTGAGAGAAAAACAATGCGACATAGAAAAAAAACATTACAAAATTTTGATTAAAACAAGCCGTTGAAACAAAGTAATTAGATGAAACTGAGAGATCGGGCGAGCTAATTAAGTAATATTCCACTGAGGTAATACCGAGAGGATTCATCCCTCTCTAGTAATACCTATCTCGCGTTTGTAGAATCCTCTTTAGTGATTTATCTCTCCCCCATCGTGATAATCTTCCTTAGAGATAGGATTCAACCCTCCCTCCTCCCTCGGTTCTTTGGAGGAAAACTCCCATGCTCAATAGCCTTTAGTTCTCGTCGGGATTTTACAAATATTGGACTAGCATAACTCGCCGTGTTATCGAATACGTGACATCGCGAGCTCGAGTTTCTCTTCTCGTAGCTGTGTGTAAATTGTAGCGCGGGTATCAAATATCATATATTACAACTCTTATCGCTACCGTGCACAAGTGTGTGTGTGAGAAAAGAATAAAATGACTACGAACTTCGTTACGCGCAACACGCAATCTCCGATTTTGAGGCAAAAAAAAAAAAATATCGTTGACGCAAAATATGCCTTCGAGTAGATATGTGTTATTATTGTTAATATCTACGTGATTAAATCGATCGGCTGAGTTACGAACGTGCGAAATTGGAAGATTCGCGTTTCCGATTGGTTTCTTTGTCTTTTGCTGTCTTTCGAGTGTATTCCGCTTGAGTGACTCGAAACAATCGAACGGAATCTCTCGGGAGGGACGCGGAAATCGATGACTTCCAATCGTGAATTATCAAGACAAGAGAGAGAGAATCCGTAATGTATGTTGTCTGTTCAAAAAAAAATTAAATTACATAATACAGAACGCGTTTTAAGAGTGCAATATAATTGCACTCTTTTGACATGCGACGGATGTAAACAAATTTTGGAGTGACAAAACGATCATATATAAAAACCGGATTGTTTGATCAATTTTCCTTGAAGTGCGCACGTTTGGAATATTTGTTCGGAGAAGAGAAAAAGTCGATATTGAACATCTAATTTCGTTAGAATTCGGAGAGTATCATCCGTAGCTCGCAGGAACGAGACTGCGGAGTACTTGGAGAGCGCGCCAGCTGATGTACATTTAACAAATCTGCGTAATAATTCACGCACGCCGGCAATCTCGCGGCTAATATATATATATATATATACTTCTCTAGATCTGTAATTCCGTATTTGCGACGACGAAGGAAATTGAATTTGCGCGAAAAACGAGCGAGTTTGACGAGAAGAGAACCTGCTCGTGCGACTTATAACCGAAGCTATCTGCCGATAACGTTGCATGGCCGTTGCGCGATCGAATTTATTAGAATGACAGGTTGGTAGTGAAGCTAGCTTTAGAACCGCTCATACACACACACACACACACACACAGAGCACTGGTTTTCGTTACCTCAGCCGTAGAACTTTTGTCCTTTTGCCAGGCAGATGCACTTTATATTTGACCGTGCACGTCGCACAAAGAAAGCAATACTGTGTGTCTCCGGAGCTGCTCTTATTGTTGTCGAAAATCTTTTTTTTTTTTATTATTATCTCTCTAATATTCTGACAGAACTGTATTAAATTTCTTTTGATGAAAACCAAGTTTATTAATTCTTTTGTTGATTTCTTTTTGAGAAACTAATTTTAATAATTTTAGAGAGACAAGAATCGACCCGCTCCTCTGCAAAGTCAGTTACGGCAGTGGATAATTTTTTCAGAAATATCTCTCTAGAGAGAAAAGCGAGCGCTTTCTTTTTTTACTGCACGAGGAAATTGACGCGCGATGTTATTCATGACGGTCTTTCAAAAATGCATGTCATCGTTCCGGTTACAACACAAAAACTCGAGCCGTGAAATAATGAAGCGCGTAGATGGGCGGTCCAACTTACGCACCGCGAAAACACATCGGGTTAAACCTGTAATCCTCTTCCCACTCATCGATAGATAAACCGCAATTTCTCAAGGGTGAAATATAACTCCGCCCGGCGCACATACATTACGTACGTCGTGAAAACAAGCAGCTGCCGCGCGCAAGCCGATATATGTAGAGGGAGGACGATGCCGAGCGCGGTCCGTCCGGCATTCGCTCGATCTACCTCTAAATTGCCGTAATTTCGACCGTCCGGAAATGATAGCATCTGCCGAATGCGCCCGCGCGCCCGTTAACAGATTTTACACGACAGATACGTCTGTTTCGCAAGACAGACAGATACAACATCTCGCATCGCGCGACAGAGAAACGGAACGTAGATATCTCTCCGCCTGATTCCTGTTCCGCGTGTGGTCGTATTTTGTCTCTATTATCTAAATAAATTATTCCGCGCCGGTATAACATAAATTACATGCAGTGCGAATAATTTTGTCGTCACAAGATTTGACGATTAAAAATCTTTAACTTTTATTCCATCAGTAATAATTATCCACGCAAATACAAATCACAAAAAAGCTACTTTCATCACTAAGTTGCGATCCATCTGTGCCAATTTTTTTTGGAACAATTTTCCAGATTTTCAATCTTCCATCCGTTCGATTTTTTTTTTTTTTTATACAAACTCCACGCTCTACGTCTGTTTACTTTTCTATTTCGCTTATCGTAAGTGGAGTGTTCCGAAATCGGCGACGGAAAATCACCTTACTTTTTCCATAAAAATCCAAGTTTCCTCAAAGAAATCTCGAAAGACGCGGAAGATGCGTCTCTTTCACGGACACTTCATACGTGTAAGCAATCATCGAAGGTTTCAATACGTCTTGTGTGAATGTGTGTGTGTGTGAATAAAAAAAATATAAAAATCTAATAAGAAAAAATAAATCTCTTGAGAAGCAGAAATGCGTGGTCGCCGTAGCGCGACGAACCGAAATGCGTTTTAGCTTTAAAACGGATCTGCCCGCCGGAAACGGCCAAGTACGGTCCACCTGCCGCTGTCTAGTCCGCGCAGACATTATTCACGAACCGTAAAGTTGCGCGGACTATGCGGGCTCTGTTGAACGTGTGAGAACGTGCGCCATATAATTTGTTTTTTTTTTTGCGTGGCTACAAATATAGAAAAAATTATGAAAATTTAAAATTGCGTGACGCAGGTTTCGGGGAAGAGCTATATATCGCACATTTTGAGATGACCCAATATGAACCAGATTTATGAGCGTGTGTCGTCGCAATCCAATTTCCACGTGAACTTCGCCTAATCTCAATTTCCCGTTATAAACGCACACGGCTCAAACGGCTCCGCGATATAATCGGATCGGTTGTCGTCGAGAACGAAGGAAGACACTCCTCCCTCCGCTTGAGAGACTTATCGACGACCGGAATCCGGAGTCATTTCCGGTTCCCGCCGTGTGCGTTACATGTTCACCTGTGCGTCATCCGTTCCCCGTCGAGGGTATCGCTCTCTCTCCCCTCCAAACCCTTTCGGCCGTTAAATGAACGAGACAAACAATCCGCCCCAAACTGGCGTAACCCTTTCGCAAACACTGGGCAATCGAACGTTACCGTATGTACTTGTTTCATGCCCGGAAACAATGGGTCCGATTGGCTTCTCGTAGCCCGCGGCACAGCTCCACGCCGAGGAAAAACAACAAAAAATAAACAAACAAAAAAAAACAGAGAACATTGTGCTGACACGTTTCACAATTTCGTCGCCTCCCTTTACACATCGCGGCAGATCGAATGAATTTACGAGCGGTAGGGGAAAAACGTTGATACGCGAGAAAAATTTTGTTTATTTTATTTGTTTTTTTTTGTTGTTCGAAAAAAGAAAGCTTTTAACAAGCGTGTTTTGTAAAATTGATACACACACAACACATGAGACTTGTTTTATACGAAACGGAAGGGGGGGAGGCTTTAATGCACAGTCGAAAATTGATTTAAGAATAATTTATTCGCGCTAAAGTTGGTTCGAATTCGTTCGGGGAAACGAATCACGGGGTATTAACGCGGGAACAGTAATTTGCCGGACACAACTGGAACACCGTTAACAAATCCTCTGTGATCCTCTATTAGAGGTGACCGATTCGCAAACGACCAATTTTCATTACGATGCGGTAATACATTTCGGCCGTGTCCATTTGGGCTCGTGTCCGAGTCTCGGCCAATTATACTCTGCTTGTGTACAATCAACAGAGAAATCGATATATATAACACCTTGTCGTCATATCCATCCAGATGCACATATGTATCTATTGTGTATATGGTTAGCGGGGATTATTGTGTGCGTGCGTGCGTGTTGTCATATCAGGAATGTAATAAATACCTCGACGCAGCTGCGCGTTTCTATCAACAAGATACTACAATAACTGAATGTAAGACGTGTGTCAATTCTCTGGCAAAACTCGCAATTTGCAGATCTTACACTGCCATTACATTACCTCTTTTACACTTCTACTCCCTCGAGCAATTGTCGGTTTTTTAAATGAAAAACGTTTGTTGTCAAATTTACTCAATGTCGTCTACATTAATTCAACGCGCTATAATAGACGATACCTGGCCGCGTTGGGGTCGTCATACACACACATACACACGCGCGCGCGCGCGCGATTGCTCTTAATGGTTTATTAAATTAATCCACCTAATTAATTGCTCGGTGCGTAAACGCTCATTATAATTGGCGGGGAAAAGGGAGTCTCGCCGGTGCGCGGGGAGTACAAGTACATTGTAGATAATTTACCGAGTCATTTCAAAGGCTCGCAATACGTTTAATATAGACCGATGCCTGATTGCGAGCGGCATATTAACGGGTTATTAGGCAGGACGCGACGCAGGGCGCAGCCTAACCGCGCAAATTGCTCGTTCGCGTGTCGAGTCTTTTGCGAGAGAGTCTGTCCGAGTAGGACGGGAAAAAAACTTCCGACGCGCATGAAGAATTAATTACATACGCGTCGGAAAAAAAAAAAAAAATAAGCAACCTCGCGAATAAATTGACTCGTCGAAAACAAAAGGAAGAAACGTTTGATGCATTTTTGACGATGCACGTCTCATTGTTTAAATATTATTTATCGATTTAATTCCAACAAAAAAAAAAATAGATCTGGTTCTCTTTAAACTCCTCAATCATCTCCTTCATCTCTTGCGCCATCAAGAGTATTCCCTACGACTGCTTCGAACAGCAAGAAGAGTTAACTAATCAGAGAAGTTAGGCACAACTAGTTGAAGGAAAACACGTGACTGTTGTACGAGCATTGGTAGCCGAGTAGGTAGTACATAAAGGTACTCCTTTAATTGCTGATCTAATCAACGTTTAATTTGTGGCTTTAGATACGTAATCATATCCGACGGGTAACTTGTACGAAATTGCTCGGTGTTACACACGAACGGCGGATTAAGCTTAGGTAAGCGGTTTCAAGACACACGTGGCGAAAATACGAATAAGAAATTTACACGAGAGACAACAAATTCCAAATAAAAAAAAAAAAAAAACAAAAAAGACGGAAATCTATTTCTTTCAATAAACTTCTGTTTCTTCTTTGTTAAATTTACGCACAAATATATACTCTCTCTGTCTCTCTCTCTCTCTCTTTCACTCTCGTTATATTCCCAAAATACGATAGCAAGCTAATTTATTTTCCCGCGTTACACACCGCAGAAATTAAACACCCCGTAAACAATATCCGTCGAACGTTGAGCGCGCGCGGATGCATTGTCGCTCGCTCGCGAAAACCCATCGGTCCGGGTCGTACATACAGGGTTTTGCAATTATCGTGTCCTTTGTCACGCGCGCGGACAAAAGAAAAGCGGAAGAAATATCGCTTTCGGGCATAACGCGCGCGTTTCGACAACGGAAATTATGACGCAACCGGCGAATTAACAACAACAACGTCTGAAAGTAAGAGAAAACACTCTGTCCACATCGACGTGTTGTAACTTTCCCAATGGGAGGAAAACAAAGCGGGAAAATAACTCGCGAGGTTTTACGAGGTTCGAGTAAGTATTTTCGGGCAAATCGTTTTCGTCGAGAGACTCAACCGTCATTTGACCACGTGTTTTTCAGAGAAAAACAAGTAGTATTCTTTTTGTTTTTTGTCACACAAGCAATGATATATCCACATTTGATCGACGTTGTTAATAAATACGCCAAAAAAATACGCGTACCTTGATATATACACACGTTTAATCCCTGACAGAATTTAATACGATTTGTTTTTTATTGGCAATCGCTTCGATTTTACAACGGACATGTAAATCGGATTCTCGATTAATTGAATAGGTTCAATTTCAACAGAGCTAACGTTTTAAAATATATTTAACGACACGCGAACAGAATATAAATATACATGTTAAAAAATTCGCATAAATCGAAATCACTTTCCGCGCGACAATAATCGCATTGGCTCTTATCACGCACATATAAACGCATTTATATGAACACATTTACTATATATACACATAATATACCTATGTATTATATATATATGTTATAATATGCATAAAATATTACATATACATATTATATTGGAGATAAGTGCAAAACAATTTTGATGGATTTCGCGATAAAAAAATGGACCAAGTAATTTGATTAAAACTGACTTATTCATTCAACTAAGTAATCCCCGTTGTTTTCTATTATCTTTCGCTGTTGTACTAGAACAAACAAAACGTTTTTAATGAAATTACTTGGTTCATTTTTCTACCACGAAATCCATCAAAACTTTTACACTCGTCTCAATATTATATATATATGATGATATATATCTGTACATTATATATTACGTGTATATATGCGTATTTTATTACAACAATATAGAGAGAAAGAGAATTACCTTTTTCGTACTCAAAAAAGCGGGAGAGCAGTGCCGCGCGCACGCGCGCGTCTCGATTTGATTTGACGCATTCCGCGCGAGCAAAAAACCAGATTGACACCTCGATGTCGCATTACAATTTTCTCTCCTCTTCGTTACGTCGAAACGCTATATCGTCCGCCGGCGAGCAACGCACGACAGATGAAACATATCATTTATTATCAGAGCGCGTCGATCCCTCGTCGGGTCTCTCGCGTCGTTTCTCCTTTCGACAAAGGGCGCGTCGACGATCGGGAGCTTTCGTGAAAAAGCGAGCGTGCCGTGTGCGTGTACATATCTCTAGATCTCACCGACGCGACGAGGATATGATCGCGCGCGATTCAACGAAGGATAAAGAAGACGAAAACTTAGCCGCGGCAATTAGTTCAGATTACATATGTCCGCGCGTGATGCGTGTGCGCGACCAATATTACACACAGTCACAGGGACACGTGAGAGATTTACAGGGACAGTGACGGATTTAAAAGACAATTTTCAAATAAAGCACACGCGCAAAAAAGATAACTATATTATAATAATAACAACAATAATAATATAATTTTGTACGGTTATTTTGTTTTTTTTCAAGCTTTCCTTAAGAAAACTGTCGTAACTTTTACGAGCACTGCGAGAGATATTCAAAACACATTTTAAAATGCAAAGTATTTCATGTGTCGTCGGTAGTTTTGAATTTTATTCTTGATGTTTTTATCGATTAATTTTTTTTTTTTCATTGATTTCGCGAGCAAAAGAAAGACGAGAAAACTTCACGTCTTAATCGTTGTTAATTTGCGTGCTGCTTCGCAAGGTGTGTAAGTTTAAATCCGTCGCTGAAAGGCGGGTTAATACAATCGTTGCCGCAGAAATGAAAAGCAAAGAGTCAAACAGAAACAGAGATGAAATAGGATGTGAGGAGAGCGGAGAGATGAAAGGACGGATAACGAGAATTAAACATCGAGAGATTCCCGTGCCAAGTGCCGCTTGCTTTTACGGTTGTCAATCGATGATTTGCGGTATCGCGCGCGCGCACACGCGACATTTGCGCGCGACGCATACGACGATCGAAATCCGACGGCCTGGTGCCAATTAAATCCCTTTTATACGGCCGTTCTCTTATCCCGCGGAGTTCATTTTACGCGTTTGATGTCTAGTTTACACACACACATACACACCATTTGAATCGCGCGCGCGTCATTCTTCGTATCAACAAGATTTTATTTTATTTTTTTTTGTTTTAACTTTACGACGCGATTTTCATCAAAGTAACAATTTTTTACCACGCGGTTTTAAGATCATCGATAAAAAATTTCTATTGCCACACACACGCACACTCGGCATTAATGCACGCGGCTGTAAAATATAAGACTTGTGCTTTCAAAGAATTATAAAAGAAAAAAATTCAAGTACTTTAATTTAATTTCTAAAAAGACGTAACCAAGGATTCTCAAAATCTTTCATACAAATCTCTTGTTTGTTATATAAAACGGCTAATTATCGCATTCTGAATTTCTTGGTGCAAACGGAAACGTGGCGTTACGAAACGCCACGCTAAGTGGTGCACTTTGCATCCCTCTCCTCTCCCTGGTTACGCCAACTGGTTGATCAGAGAGCAAAGAACTTTTCAAACAGCAATAAATTACGCAATATTCATAAAACTTTCGAAACAATACGGAGTGTTCACAAATCGCAACAGAAAGAAAGTTTCGCAAAGCTTCTTCGCTGTTTAAAAAGTGACTTTTGTCTCCTAACGTACACAAAGATGGGGAACATCGTTTCTATAAATAGACCGTCAACACCCAAGGGTCCTCTTACAGCGTTAATTACGTGCTGGGGGATTTCAGCTCCGTTCCAAGTACGATTATAATACGGTCTGAATAAGAAAAGCGTCCTGAGACGGGGGGAGATCGGACTTCTCGGATCTCCATTGCGAATCTGCCGCTAACTCTTTGACGACCGACGGAAGCGGCTCTTTTTTTTTATCACTCTTTCGTTCTTTCTCTCTCTCTCATTCTCTCATCATTTTCTTAACTCAGACGACGGGGGTTTCTGACGCGCGCGGGCTAATGACCGCGTGACTTCTTAAACCGGAGGTTCTGTTGAAGGAGATGAATAGTCAATTCGGCAATAAATCAGTCTAACGTCCCTCGCAAGTTCCCATTTGCACTCTCTCTCCTTTGTAGCACGCGCCAAGGCATGCTACAAAGCAGGCGCGGAGCACAATGTATATTCGTGTTTATATATCGCGGTGAGAGATCGGTGAAAACATACGTATTGCTGTTATTTGTTCGCCAAGTGCACGTAACAACTAACAAAGAATAAAAAAAAATATATACATATATGTATATATAATTAATCTAAAAGCAGATCTTTTTCTAAAAACGTGTTTTTATTTACAATTTCGCTCTTCAAGAAAAAAAATATTTTTCTCTCGTAAAAACACGCGGATGTAATTTCTATTCCACGTAGTTTGTTTAGAAACTTCACATTGTATTCTGACAAAAGATAAAAAATATCAAAATAACTTCAGATTATGTTCTAATAAAGATAAACAAAAAAACAAAACTATCGCGGATGCGCGTGTCGTTGGAAAAATATATTGAAGTTTATGAATTACTCAATTCGCGAATGTTTTCCACGGATTTAAATGTCCGAGGCAATAAACAACGCCAAACCAAGAGAGCGCGAATTATTCATTGCAACATTACTCAAACATCGGTCCGGTTTGAGAAATCGGCATTATGTCCGCGTTAATTACCGGTCGTCAAAGAATTGATTTGTGATTTTACAGCTACATGTAATACAGCTGTGCCAAACTATAAACATTGAAAGTACATTATCGATCGATGGCTCGTAGCTACATTATGTTCGACATTTTATTCCAAAGATGTGGCGCGTAATGCAAGATTTATATTACGAGATTAAAACTAGCAATGTTGCATGAGAAAAGCAATTTTGTTAAAAATATCAAATTACGTGACGTCATAAATTTGATATTTTTTCTTTTACTCTTCTATTTTTTTAAAATTAGTTTGGATAAACACTTCAGAAATAAACCAACAATTTGCATACGCGTTACATTTTCACGCACGCACACACACACATACACACAAAATTGTATAATAATCGTTATAAATTCGAATACTAATCTATCAAAATTATACTCATCTGCTCTGCATCCTGCAGCGATCGGTTCCGTTCCACTTCGACGTTTCCAAAATTTTTCCGTAGAAGGTCTTCCGAAAACACGTTGAAATAATTCATGAACGTATCGATCAAAAGCACTTTTGTCCCATTTGCAACATTCATGGCATTATCGATTGCTCCTTTCATAATGCATATTTTATAAGAACAGTCTATGACTAGAGAGTCTTTCGAAACACGAGTCTTTCGAACATCCTCATTCGTTATTCAATTGCTACAATTTGCATGACAAATTGATGTCAAATAATAAAATAAATGGCGATTGTAAGATGTCAAAGTCGTTAAAGTTTTCAAACAGTCTTTTTTGAGATTACAAATTTTTATTTTAATATTGACGAAATTGACAACTACGATTAGTACATTAAAAATTAAGCTCTTTTCTCTCTCCCTCTCTCTCTCTAATATCTTATATATAGATGTGGTTTATAAATGTTTATAACATGGCAATATGAAGAAAGATTTAATTCACGCTAGAAATTTGACTTACGGAAAACATGGAGAAGAACTCGCAAACTTTATCGAAAGGATTTATTCTTTTCTACACTATCTCTCTCGCGTCTCCACGTGATATCTCTAGGGAAAGCGCAACGACTCAGATAGAAAGGCAAAAGTCAGCCAACAAATCTTTCTTGTCGAAAGATAAGATAAAAATTCTTTCTAAACATTGACGTTTTATTCTCTCAAGGTTTTGAGCTTTTTTTTAATCAAAAATAATAACACTCGATAAAAAAAAAAAAAAGAAGAGATGTCGAAAACTAAAAATTATTTGTACAAAAAAGTGTTAGATCCAATTGTATATATTGAGTTAATAAATTTAGTTAAAACCGGACGCGCGGGGGGCTAGTGTTCACACGACGCGAAACATTCGGATACAAAGTCGCAAAGCAAACGATGAACACCGGGAGCGTTACTGACTCACATTGGTACACGCAATGATTCGCGAGCGCAGGACGAATGCACCCGTTTGCACGGACGCGCGAAATGCAACTGCGAGCGGAATTCGTGCGGACCGCAATAGTGGGATGCACATGCTTCTGGAGTCGAGCACGTGCCATTGGTGAACGTAGATATGTGTGTACGTGTGTGCGTGTGTATTTGAGCGAACGAGCGCGCGCGCAATTGCGAACAGACAGATGAGCTCATACCCTTCGCGAGTAAATTTCCAAATTATTATTACATTTCAAATTGGAAATTACCGCATTATTGCAAAATTGTCATTTTGTGTAATTAAAGAAACATGACAAGTGCGTAACGTATCGGCAATAAACAAAAACTAATATCGCCCGAAGGAAGACCGTAATTATTCACTCACGTAATCTTAATCTTGGCAATTGAAAATAAATATTTATAGTTACAGAAATAATTTATTTTACGACTAATACTCTCCTAGAAATAATTTGTTGCCACGCAAATAAACATATCCGTGTAT